TCCACTGAAATCGCGCAAATAGCTAAGCCTTTCTCACGGAAGCAATGATACGCCATGAGTCAACTAGAGGTATAACCTCATAACAAATTTCAAATGAGTCATCGTTGAACATCATTACGAAAATTATAATACATAGGATGTATTGAAATCATATGCACCCGATTGCTCTCAAATTACAATACACGTTTAAAATGTATAGTGCTGTTATGTTGTAACCCGGCCGACAGCCTTGATCATTACAAAAGAATATAATTCTTTACAAACACAAATGTATTATAAGTTTTCATCGAAAATTTATATCATTTTATTTCATAAAGGCTAACCCGTTGTACTATTCATACATTTTCTATTAATTAATTTATCGTTAGTATTCATATTAAGCAACGTCTTTATCCCGTTCTAATCGAAAGCAATGTATCGACCCGGTAATGATACTCAGTTACTTATAATGTTCGTTAATTAACATAACATAATGATTAGAGTGAAAACCAAGAAGATAAAGGTGGATTTGTGTATGGTTAGTTCAGTAACTGCCCCAAGGAGACCTCGTACCAGCGTCCCAGTGGTTTGTAATGACGGCTTTTCTGACCTTGGTGTATATAATTGAAGCTGAATATGAAATCCCATAGCTTGAAAACATTTCATAATGACGGTAAACCAGCAGAGTAGAATGAAACCTACCAGCCGGAAATCCTTGTCTACGTAACTTTTTGTCAAATCGACTAGTACACTGTATATCAATAACAGGTACGATCAAAAATGCATAAGGTTGCTAACGGTGCTCAACGTAATTGTCAAGCAGGTAAAATTCATGACACAGACATTGTATCATATTACCATAGCATCATTTCAGGAGAGTCTATCCTGCATTTTATAGGATAGGTCATATCCTACATAGGTGTAGCAGGAAGTGTAACTGGATCCGAAACCATAAGTAGTACAACGTTATATGTTGTTGTTGAACAATTTTATTATAGTTTGGCAGTTATTCATTTTCATAAAGATTTGCAGGATAGGATGGTTGCAATTATAAATGTAACGTAAGAAAGTTAGTCAAAATTAGCATATTAATTAACGATATAAAGATAAGTAATTCAAGTTTTCAAAAATGTCACTCTTGATAGAAACAAGTATCAAGGTTCATTTATCAACCTAGGTCATGCGGAGAGATGAATGCAGGACACACTCGATTGAACCTGTAAAATTTTGTAATTGATACAACTTGCCAAAAAATGAATTACTCTTCGCCATACAACTGTTTCGTCATTCAATGATTCATCAATGATGATTGAGGTCAAGAGGTTAGAAATCGGAACCTATCTAAACTACTGATGAAACAGAAGGGAAATGCGTAAAACGCCTTCATTATATGGATTTCAAATTGTTTTTAGAGGTGCACTGGTAAGCTTCAATTAATATTGAGAGGTGAGTTACATTTCTCTTTCGTTAGCTGTTGAATTGTGAATGGACTTTAATGCGTGATAGTTGAAGCTAGTTGAACCACAAGAAAAAACACATTACAAAATGTCTTGTTAACGTATTTCAGTAAAGTGTAAATGTAAACCCGGGAGTCGTGTGACTTTGATAACTGACCTTTATATTATTATATATCAGTCATTCCATAGCATATAAAAGTATTATAAATGAGCTTAACAAGATGTAAACTTTATATCTAGATGCTACCTTTATGTAGAAATAACTGTGACGTAAAATTACTATTACGTAAAGATCATTATGTAGAAATCATATCTATGTAGAAATTATTTCTATGTAGAAATTATTATTTGTAGAAATAACTTTTCTGTTGGAATAACAATTTTGTAGAAATAATGATTATATAGAAATTACTATTATAGAAATTAATATCGTCAAGAGATTACTATTATGTTGAAAATACTACTATGCATAAAGAGGGCGGCAAAGAGAATCCCGGTAAAATACACATTTTAAAAAGAACCTGTGCATTTTTAATTTCCAGTCCTGAATATTGGGATATAGAAAACACTACATCTACAAAAAGACATGTAACGTAAAGTTCTGGCATTCATCTGATCACATAGCCCTTGGTTTCACTTTATGTACTGTTTAAATACGTTATCGGGATATTTCGTAATAATTCTTTGGCTTTGACTGGGTAAAACCATCTTAATTTGAGACCGTTATGTTTCTCAACAGATTGTAAAAGAGATCTTGAGCCCTACATGACCCAGGTTTGAAAAACACTTAGACAATGTGTCATCTCGTTGTGGTCAGTTTGGTTACCAGATTGATTGGCCTGTCATAATGTAGGTAAATTATTTTTATGAAGGCATCGGCCCTATTGCCATATTACAGACAAAGCTCATGTTGTTTGTTTGTTTGGGTGGGTGGGTTGGTGGTTCTACGTCCGCCTCACTACCGAGTAGTTCCGTTATCCAGCAGACGAATAAGCTTGTTTCGTTCAGTATCTTGTTAATAACAAACGTTCAATCTATCCAAATTACATATCTTATTACTGATGTTTAATTGGGGTCTTTGAATATGACCTGTCATTGGGTGAATATATACGATGTCGTTCTAACTATCTTTTAAAGGGGACTGAACCTGAAATGGTATTGTCTTTTCCGGAATTGGTTTAAAAAAAATTAAAAAATTCGTATGTGTTTGTGGTTAAGCTTACTATACTTTGATTAACTTGATGTGGAAACCTTATCGGCTTAAGGAAATCTTTTTATCTTAGATTATTTCAAAAGTGAAAGAAAATTATGATCAAAACTGCATCTGTATTAATATGCACTTCAATACTTATATATAACTTAGTAAAGATGCATGTTTAATTTATAACAAGTAATAATTCAAAGATAAAATTCAACACAATATTAAGATTACTTATTAAAAAACTGATTCAGCTGAAAACGAATGTCATACTAAGTTCATGTGCGTAGCAGAACGGCGATTACCGGTAGCTAGCAGGGTCAATCATAGGCTTTTCAAATAAACAGATGCATTTACATGTTTGAAGTTGCGAAAAACAAAAAGACCACATGCACATATTTTAACCATTGGTTATGCAAATACAGACAGATATCTATTTCAGTACATTTCCATGTCAAAAAAAGAGAGATTTTTTTTTTTATCATTTTTGAACGTTTGTGAAAATGCAAGTAATTAATGATACTACATATAAACATCGACAAAATAGCGAAAGAAAACTGGCTTTTCAAAGCATATCTGTCACTTCATAAACACATGCATCAAATAAAGAAGTCAGAATGCATGAAAATAAAAAATATAAGTCTATGAAGATTTTTTGTCGAATCACCTACATTAATCGCCCATCATAAACGCTAAAGCCTTAACGTCATGAAAGTCACCTGATATCTATGATGATTCATTGTTTATGTCACTTACATAGTAAAAACGTTACTGAAATAAGGTAGTTCACTTACTCTTAGATCGTTCTTATCTATGTTGATTCATTGTTTATGTCACTAACATAGTAAAATAGTTACAGAACTGGTAGTTCACTTACTCTTAGATCGTTGTTGACCTACACACTTTCCTAGGTTTGACGGAATATATCATGACGTGTGGCGAATGTGGTGTTTATATTTTTCTATGTTGCCTTTCCTTTAGTTTTGGTGTCTCCCCGTGTATTTTTCTCTATTCGTGTCAACGTTATGTTCATAGCCTACTTTGTGGGTTAAAGATTGGATGTTTACGTTTCTTCATTTATATTTTCCCCATAGCAATTGTTCATAACAGTATACTGTATACTAAGAAATATTTCCTGCAGTTGAATATTCTTCGTCTTAAAGGCGGATACTTTATGATGGCAAATATTAACACAGCTTCCTATCAGCTATACGAAAACGACTGGTTCCGATAACTACAGGTAAACAAATACCACAGAATATTTTATTTTTAATATAAACGGCAGAGTTTTATGTATGCGGTTTCAAGTTTGTAATAGCTGTTGCATGTAGTATTACTTAAAACATATTATCACATACCTATGTAATCTTACAATGAATACAAGTAATACAACAATTTTCTGTTGACGTTTTCTGTCGGTTTGTATCACCATACTAGCCGGAACTACTTTTTATGGGAATCCCCTGGTAATGGCGAACTGAAAAGTTCCCGGTATTTGCAAAAAATATCAAAGTTTATAAAATCTTTGTATCGATCTCTACAAAATACAGGAGGTATGTGATAAAGGAAGACCACACACTTGTATTTTTCTAACGAATCAGAAAGCACTCATTTATTGTGCGATAAGAAAAACACAAGTGTGTGGTCTTACATATTAACCTTATGAACGGGCATGAAACAAATTCATATAAAACTCGTGTATAACACCATGCTGATCAATCAACGGGAGGTAACTCTATAGTATCTGAAACAGAGCAGGCTGCGTAAAATAATAAATCATTGGCTAAAAGTTAATGCATTTTGAAGGTGTTTTTTTTTTTGTATATTCTGCGTCGTTTTTGGTATTGTTGGTTATATCGGCTTACTTGGTTTGTTTTACGCCCTCGCCCTTACCTCGAAAGCATTCGTGTGCATCACACAGGCTATTCAAGTACTGAGTGGAGAATTAAAAGTACGTGATATTGTTATGATTGTGACGGCCACAGATCAAGAAATCGGTACGAGAGATTGTGGTACGTTAGTTTTGCGGCTCTAAACAAGAACGAGAAGTGTAATGTTACCAAGCAAACTTGTGACAACAGGTGCTACATAAGGAACAGGAAACTCTATTCCCTCCAGTTTTCACCTGGTTTGTCTTTTTCGTTTTGTAAGTGGGGCTGATGCTCTTTCATTTTATTTTTTACCTCTGACAATGTTGCTGTCTCTTTGAAGCCTGGAAGCCATCTTGTTATGAAACCAGGTGTTTTGGACTTCCTACACGACATGTGCCTACACGACATGTGGCACATTCATAATCTGTGTTACATCCATAAAAGAACGGGCTTTTTTCAACCAGTCCTTTTAAGTACAACAAAAAAATACCATTACAAGAACAATTACATAATCATTTATTTCCAATAGCGACCTTAACGAGGATTAAAAGAGAACACAAATATAAGCAAGGCACATGTAAAAGAGCCAACGACCACAGCTGAACGCATCTGTAAAGAGAACAAAATGTAGCCGTCAATATCCTCTACTCTAGATCTCCCATGTTGAAATGAGAACAATTATGTTATTGTTTACAAGCATAAGTGATATGGAATTTGCAATGTGTCACTTTTCTTTGCGGTTTTTGGGATGTGATCCAGGCAAACAATTATGAAACATCACGTACAAATTTTGCACCCTTTGTACCCCTACACAGTGCGCTTGGATCGTGAGTGAAATAAGAGATACAATCTGTCACAGTTTTTTTTATATAAATACGGGTGGTACTCAGGCAAGGTACGAACGTATTCAAGTTTTGGTACCTTTTCTATTAACATTTTGTATTTCTCAAGTCGAAAGTTAAAATATTACATTTGAAACCTTTTAAAAGGATATGCTCTGTGAAAGATTGTACATGGACGGTCAGAACCGGTTGCTTATCCTCTGCTAACGAATGTTGAGCGGGAGATAAAAGTTTGTTTTTGTCGCCCCATAAAAGAAATATAAAATTTAAAGCATTTCTTGTTTTCAAGACATTCATTCGAACTAATTAGTCTGCATGTGAAAGTGTTTACATTGTTTCTTCAAATAAACAATAGCTAATTTTTCAGATACAATCTCATGATATGTCTGGACATTTAACTAGAAGTAGCTGACCTACTGTAAATTCGTTAAATTTGCGTGATAATTATTATCGTATGAAGGCATCAGGAAAATCGAACGCGAATGGAATGTTAATGCGAATAACTATGTTATCGGTCGTCTTACAATTAATATTCTCGGGGAATAAGTCATTTGATTTGCGGTCACAAAAATGAGTCCTTCCTTTTGTCTAGCAATGTGCAGTATTTAAACAAAACACTTTGTTTTTTCACATAGTTTCTTTATATTTCGAATAGGAATAATTAGCCCGAAAAAACGATAATACAACATCGATGATTTCATTTTTATCATTATTTCTTAATAAAAATAATAAAAAAATAATGTGTATATACAGCATTCGTCTGTACATCAGTTGTTGTGCTATCTTAAATGTATACTTACAGTATTCAGTCATCGAATAATTCGTCGTAAAATTCTCTCATCATGTATCGTTGGCGCATTGCTCTGAATGATCGAGGAAATCCATAGTCGTAGTCGTAGTAACCATAACGTGGGTAGTCTGCCTCGACTAGGGCGGCGTACATCACCATAACAACCAACAGGAAGATCAGTTGTTTATACTCCATCTTGTGTTGTCCTGTTAGTATCAAGAATACACGTCAATATCGTGTAGTGTAAAAATGAAAATTCTTGCGTGCAGAAATGTTCGCGTTATGACTGTCCGCCCTGATATGACCATGGCTGCTTCGAAGGCGTTAGCGTTAAAGCGCTAATTTACGCATAAACGCAAAAATTTTCAAGCCGCAAAAAAAACTATTTTTACTGTATAAATATAGATCTCACTAGTTGGAAGAGCAAAATATACAGTAAATGAAGAGTTTTCATCAGTATAGTATTTTTTTATAAAGTATTTCCCTTTTCTTCATTAACTACATAATCTGGAAATATGTCAACTTTGCCAAGACGGATTTGTTAAATCATACCACAGGCGTTTTCCTATTCGTTAAATGTTACAGTCATCAAAATTATTAATATCTCTGTATAACTAAATATGATCTGTAAAAACAATACCCAGACCATATCACTCGTCTAGGTAGCATCCCGTTATACTCTATGGCATCGTTCGCTTTGTACAATTTCCTTCATACTTAATTAAATCTCCAAGCAAGACCAGTCGTTGGAAGTGTTTACTCATGTTTAACACAATCCATTATTTATATCTGATTGATGGTTACTCCATCCAACCCTTCAATGACAGCCGAAACACACAAATCAATCACAAAGGAGTGGAACAATATGCTACTCTTATCTAGCAATGGTGGTTTTTTTTTAGAATATCTTGTTCGTGATGATTTTCATTCACAAATGGATATACATTCTTCATTGTGCTTGAATTAGCATTCGCGAGTCTTTCCAATCCAAATAAACTAATAGTACAATTATCCTCGTTATCACAGCTCAAAAACACGTTCAAAGTCATTGGAAACTTAACCGGAGAAAAAGTAAATTCTACTTCTATATCAAATAACTTGACAACACTAGTATGAAATATCATAGAAGAAATCGTACATGGCAAAATTAAATAATACGAATAATTGTCTGTACAAGAATTGCCATAAAATCGAAAAAACTCATTTTATTTCTGAAATGTGTAAATACTTCAGACTGATACGAATGAAACTTTATGAAAGTCAGAAGAGGAGTCGAGTATACGCTTAAATTATATGAATAGTCGGTATATTTTATGAAATAAGGTTATATAAATGTATAGCTGACATTGCACAGATACAGCAAAATAATTTAACATATATTAGAAGAAGAACAAAGAAGAAATTCGAAGTATATGAATTCGAACAGATATGTTTTTATGGTTCAATTGATAAAAATAATTTCAAAAAACTGACGAAGTATAAGTTGTATAAAAAAACAAATTGTTCTTGAAAAAATAAATATACAATTTTTAAATAATGAATAGTATTAACAATTTCAACAACATCTTAAACATTGAAATTGACATCAAAGTTACAGAATGTATCAACATACCTGGTGTGTCGCTCGACAGGTGACTGACTACACTTACCTGTGAGGAGCGCTTTATATAATCCAACACGCCTTCATACCTCATCAATCAAATGCAATTGTCCATACATTTACATACGCCATTTTAGTGAAGTTCCAAACTGCTGAATATGTAGATCAGAATGAATGATTCATTGATTCAACTTCATTATGTAATTGTAAAAAAAAAGGAAGTGTTTGTGGAGGATACAAATCTGTTTTAGTTTCATGGAATTGATTAGCATTTTAAGGAAACACTCTGATGGATAACAGATATAAAGTCTATGTGTGGGTATTATTGAGACATACATCACAATGATGACGATATAATGGTGTAGTTTTTCGCCGTTTTTTTCTCTGAATAATTGCCTCGTGATGTCCTGTTAATTACGCAATGAGTGTTTCCAACTGTGTGAGTTAATATGATTAACATTAATAAGGGTTTTATAGGCAAATTACCCTAAATTTCTACACGTTTTGGAACTTTTTCGTCATTGATTTTAATTCTTTGGACCTTTGTATCACTAATAAGTTCTTAATGAAAGAAACGACCATATGATGCAGAAAAAACATGTTTACTTTGTTTGGCTCTATGCATCGACATGTATTTTTTTACGTATGCGCTTCCTTTGTCGTATTTCTTTTGGCGGCCTTATATGAGAAAGGTGCTAGTTCCTGACCTCAGGAAGGCGGTGTGTACTTCGGGTACGCCGGTTTCCACATCATAGAAACGGCACTGTCTGTAAATGGCCTTAATCTGTTAATCTGACATAACATAATTTTAAAAAGGAAACATCCTTTTCCTTTACTTCCCTATCATATTTCTAGTGATTATTCAGTCCAATATACACCGAGAAAAGTTTATGATCGTCATTATATCAAACTGTTCGTCAGGTCAAATACAGTTGATTCAATATACACAATCATATGTTTGACAGGAGAGGTAATTGTGATGCCCCCTGTGGTAAGGGAAAGACTTACTTTTCCCCGGAGCACATGTTTCCGTCTTTGTTTCTATAGTTTCTACTTTCTAGGAGATCGGGTAGTGATTACATTGTTATATATCGCTGTCTGCTGGGTCTATATCCCTGTCTTATTTGAATCAACCTCTATTATTTTTACCTTTGTTTCGGGTGGCCGGTTGGCGCAGTGGTAACGCATTTGTTTTTCACAAATATTATAAGGCAGGAAAAACAAATCTATTTCTTGGACTTTGTGTGATATGGAGGTCGATGTTTTTTTACTATGCTCATGAGGTTGTGTTGTCACTTCCAAGTTCTCGATGTGAGGACGTGTCTCCATGACAATCGTTTTTTTTCATTTTTGTGACCTAGTTTTATCTATTTTGTGTTCGAATTATAGTTAATTTTTGTATAGATTTTATTTTGAAATGACACACACAAACTCAGATACAGTTAACTACTATATGAGATATGATTTTACCCGCCCTGATAAACTTTTGCCAAACCGGTCTAAACGCAAAAGGTAAACTAACCTAGTGTTAGAAATGATTAAGTGATAAACTTCAGTTTGAGCATAAAAATGAATTGATTGCTATAGATTTGTGTTAAATTGTAATGTAAGAAACAAAGATGAACTGGTTATTATGATACGATTTTCTACTGAAATTCGTTATTTTGAAATGTAACAAACGTAAAGATGTACTGACCTAAAATGATAGTATGACTCCCCCTAATAAACATCACAAGGAAACGTGACAAATGTCAAGATGAACTGACCTGAAATGATGGTACAATTTTCCCCTGATTTACTTTACACTGAAATGTATCCACAGTTTAAGATGGACTGCTTTGTTGTGACATTATTGTTTTCGCTGATGATAAAATGGATTAAGACACGTAATACAAATGAACGACGAGTTACAGGTAATACAAAACAGGGTCAGAGAGTATAGGGTGAACAAACAATGACATTAGTTATTCACACCTCGGCGCGCTGTTACTGACATGCATCATACTGAAGGATTTCCCCCTACTCATTGCGGTACGTTGTGACATATATGTTAACGTAAACACATAAGATCTAATTCAAACAAAAGATAAATACCTTTCATTGAAATATTTATCCCTTTGTCACCCGATATGTCTGCAGTAAAAATATTACACGAACAAATGAGCGTTTTATAACTGCAGTGTTGGGTTTGACACTACAATATGCATACCTGATGAATAATAACCTTATGGAAATACACACTGTACGATTTTATTGATATTTAATAGTACATGCTATGTAAAGTTCAGATAATTGTAGCGGTATTTATTTCTCGAAAATGTAGATGTACGTTTGATACTTAAATACTAATCGATAATAGTGTAATAATAATAAAAGTTTCGGAAATTAATAGTTCACATCGTGAAATTGAATCCAAATTGTAAATGATAAATATTTGTGAAAATATTATACTTTGTATCTGTCCGTAGAGGTATATATATTGTCAAAGGGGAAAACAAACTTCCCACACATTCACCAATAATTTCCAGATTGGATTTCGTCATTTTTCTTGTATTCTGTTTCACAATGCGAACAGTAAGCAAGCTTAATGGTTTCCCCCTATTTGTGAGCTCCCGATCCCCTGTCCTTCTCTTACGGTAAAGCCTAATCACCACTCCATCTGTACGGTGATCAATCTAGTACTACAAGACAGAACATATAACAGTCGTTCACATTAGTGACACACATATTTTTTCCGCCAATACGTCATCATCTCCATCTGCTCTGTTTCCAAGGAAATCCAGGTACTGGACTTTCCATCCGCATTTTTTCTACTTTCCTACTTTTAGCTTTACTGTCTGACTTCTTAAAGCACCATTTTTCTTTTCTTTGTTACGTTTGCTGTTTTAATTTTCGTAACTGCTTTCCATAACCAATCTTCGAAACTCCAGGGGTAACACACACTCTTATGTCGTCTGCAGCTCTGGAATATAAGGTGACGAAATCAAATTTGCAACCATTGTGGATGTTACAAATAGACTAGTTTGATCCTTTTGTAGATCGAAAGCATCGCAAAGCAGCGTAATGGTAAACTCGGCAGGCTTTAAAGTTGGATTTCTACATATTTTGGAACATCTTAAGACTTTTGATTTTCATTCTCTTGACCTCAGTGGATAAACCTGCAATAAAGTGCAGTTTACTTTGTTTGGCATCTTTGCATCTGTATATCTAGTAATTATTTTATGACATTTTTTGTTTCGTTTATACCATTCTAAATACAAAAAGGAACTGTTCATTGTTCATACAATTGTTAATATGATGTTACATTATATAATTCCTAGCTCAGGAAGACAAAATCGATACGAACAGCAACTGAGGAGACACCAATACAAAAGGAAAAACATCATGAAATCATCCTTCAAAAAACCGATAAGGGACTAGGTGTTCCGAATGAGTAAGAATCTCCTTTTGCCACATGTGGTACCTGTCGTGTCCTTTCATACCTTGGACAATATGTAGATCACTAAAAAAACATCATATTAAATAGCGTAAGCAATTAAATATTTTGTGTATTATTAAATTGCACATGTCAAATACTTAACTTAAACAAGAGGCCCAGAGGGCATGTATCGCTCACCGGAATATGTTTGAAATGATTGGTATGAAGTAAAGATATAGAACTCAGTGGTAGGTGCTGTAAGTACATATAAAATTTCAGAAAGATCCATCCAGTACGTGAGAAATAGCAAGAACAAACTTCAGAGCCCCACCCCTATGCTCCTAGGAGGGTCATAACCACCAGTTATACAAAATTGAGACCCTTTGGGCCTTGGCCCAAGGATGCTCCAGACTAAATAAGGATAAAATCCCTTAATCCCGATGGTCGAAGAAGGTTTTATCTCTATTTCTCCTATTGGGCCCCGTCCTTCTGCCCCCTGGGAGACCACGCCCACTGCTTATACAAAATTGAGTCCCCTTGGCCTAAGGATGCTCCAGACTAAAGTATGATAAAATCCCTTAATCCCTATGTAAGAAGAAAGATTATAAAGGTTTTACCTTTATTTCCCCTATACGGCCCCGCCCCTCAGGTTCCTGGGAAGCCACACCCACTGTTTATACAAAATTGGTTACCCTGCACCCAAGGATGCTCCACACTAAATATGGACCAAATCCTTTCATTCCTACAGAATAAGAAGGATTTTAAAGAATAATTTGCTATGTTTCCCCTAAAGGGTCTCGCTTCTCAGGCCTCTGGCGGGCCAGACCCACGGTTTATACAAAATTGGTTCCTCTTCACCCAAGGATGCTTCAGACCAAATATGGAACAAATCCTTTCATTCCTACAGAAGAAGAAGGATTTTAAAGAATTTGCTATATTTCCCCTTTTGGGCCCTGTCCCTCAGCCCCCAGGGGGGCCAGACCCACTATTTATACATTATTTGTTCCCCTTCACCCAAGGAAACTTCTGACCAAATATGGAACAAATCCTTTCATTCCTACAGAAGAAGAAGGATTTTAAGAATTTGCTATGTTTCCCGTATTGGGCCCCGCCCATCAGCCCCCAGGGGGCCACACCCACTGTTTATACAAAATCGGTTCCCCTTTACCCAAGGATGCTTCACGGCAAATTCTTTAAAATCCTTTCATTCCTACAAAAGAAGAAGGATTTTAAAGAATTTGCTATGTTTCCCATATCGGGCCCCACCCCTCAGACCCCTTTGGGGCCAGACCCACGGTTTATACAAAACGGGTTCCCCTTAACCCAAGGATGCTTCAGACCAAATATACAACAAATCCTTTCATTCCTACAGAAGAAGAAGGATTTTAAAGAATTTGCTAAATTTCCCCTATTGGGGTCCGCCCCTCAGTCCCCAGGGGGTCCAGACCCACCATTTATACAAAATTGAGTCCCCTTGGCCCAAGGCTGTTCCAGACTAAATTAAATATAAAAATCCCTTAATCCCTACGGTAGAAGAAGGATTTTAAAGGTTTTACCTCTATTTCCCCTATTTGGCCCCGCCCCTCTGCCCCCAGGGGGGGGGGGGGCACACCCACCGTTTATACAAATTGAGTCCCCTTGGCTTTAGGATGCTCCAGACCAAAATTAGTCAAATCTACATGACCGTTCAGGACTAGTATCGTTTTAAAGGAAAAGTTGACCGACGGACGCTAAGGTATGGCATAATCTAACCATGGTCCTTCGGACCAGGTGAGCTAAAAAAAAACAATATTTTAAATACCACATTCATTTTCCGTTAAGGTATTTTACTTACATACCAATAACTCAAATGAAACGTTACAAAACATTACCTACATAGAGACACTCTTTGATATATTTACTCGAAAAGTATATTATGTCAGCTGTCACCTGAAGAATATCACAGGAGAAACAAAATATCAATTGTTCAGCACTCTTTATGTCATGCTAATGGTTCCAGAGTTCAATAAAAAGATGCACATCAATTCTGGCAGTGAGATTAAACGTTTTATAACGGTTGAGCGTTATAATTAATCTGCCCAGAAACAATTGCATTATTGTTAGTTTATTGCTCAATCTTTATAACTTATGTTAATATGATTGATATATCATAATAGTCGTGTACATATTCTATAGTGAATTAATCTGTTCAGGTAGTTCGTATTACAAGGCATGAGGAAAGCTAGATTATAATGGATGACATCTTGTATTACTTAGGCCTATCTGTGAAAACATGATGATGTGTCTATCAGATATTAACCCGAGATTAAGAAAATAATTGGCGCTAATTTTTAGATATTTATTAAAACTAGTCATTTTATTTCCATGGACATACTATTAACAGAGTATAAACTGTGACTTTCAATAAAACGGGAATATATGCGCGGATTTTTCAGCATCAAAATGGCGTCTTCCCCAGTAAGGACATAGTATTGTAAACCGCATCATATGTCAAGAACAAATGTTTTATCTTATCATATCATCAACGTAGACTTTCATCGCATACCTTTACTATGTGTAATACATGTATGAAACATTGACTATTATCTGTGGCAATAAACACAGAATTTTGACTGAGTGGCACACTGACTAACTCGTCATCGACATTCCAGGAGTAACGCTCACTTACGCTCTCTGCACCGCTGGAAAATGTCATTACAAATAAAGGGCACGCTGTTATATAAGCTAATTGACTGGATTGAAGTGAAAAAAACCTTACATATCGCTAATCTGATACCTATCCTTTGAATATCACAGAGGATTCGTGATGTACATCAAAAATCAAATTTATCCGTCTGTGTCATCCACAAGGTTGCGCGTGCAGAACCTTAATTTTCGCCATGACATATTCCAGGGATGCAAAAAAGGTAAGTGAGAGCGTAGCCCCTTTTTTCATTCAAACGTATGTTATTGATCGAAAAACAATCAAAGGGATTGGGCAGAAGTTCTGACAAATAACTAGGCTCTCTCGTAGGCATAGCCCCTTGAAGTTCGAGGATGTGATCAACCATTAATAACAAACCATTACCGTAACGAACTATATCAACAATCCTCATTTCCGATTTGTTATACATTGCATTGTAACGATCTTTGTACCACTGTCAAAACGTGTAACCAAGTATTAGAAACTCTTTTTGCCGGCATGACTATAATTTTGATAAATCATTTCTGTAAAATGATAAAGATGCAATAAACAAAAATAATCTACAAGAGCTAGATCGGGATTCGCTGTAACCCATTTAGCTATTTAGTCAACGGAAATGTAATAGCCAAAATGTGCTGGGGCTGTTCGTTTAAAGAGGAACAACCGTTTTGTCCGTTTGTCAAATGTAACAATTTTGGGTATAAATCCTGGCGGACCTTCAAATGTTTATGCAGACCTTACAAG